AGAACGTATAAGCACGATCTAACGATTAATAGAATTTTAAATTAGATTAATTTATAGTGCCTCTCGGGAGAGATACGTATAATCAGATTATCGTAATTGATTCGAGGTTATTATACGGACCCGTGGAAACAATTATTGTTCGTTAAAATTTAAATACAAATTCGTAAACTTGAATTGTATAAAATATATTTCGAGGCAATTTTTCTTTTTTCCTAACGAAACTATAAAATATAACAATCATTTTCTTAAAATTTGACAATCATGTCGTATAAATTTTTACATTTACGTAGAAATATATTTCAATGATAGTAAATGTGTCATCGTATCGAGTGTTAAAATTTGTTGTTGCGTTTAGAATTTACGAACGAATTTGCGAAGGTAATCTTTTTCACATATCGAGATGAGAAATCGAGATTTATTTCTATAAACGCGTAAACAACGGTGTAATTTGTCTCGAAACGCTAATATAATATCGCTACGAATTGACAACGCCTGACAGGAAGCTAGTCAACTCGAATCCCTGGTTTCGATTTAATAAACCGATAGCCAGCCAGTCGAATAGCAAACTAGTAGCATAATCGTTTCAATCTGAATATCGTAGTATATCATCCGGGCGCCCTGATAAATCAAATTATAATGCCAAAAGTCAACCAATATTGGTGTCCAATGTTTAATGAATTCCATTAGAAGAAACGGCATGATTGATTTGGATCATCGTACGTTCCATTCCATTCATAATCAAGAAAGAAGCCAATTTAATCGATTTAATCGATTTAAAAAGATTGATAAATAAGATTTATAGTTTTCTTCTTTTCCAATATTACACTTTCACATCCCTTCATATACCTTGCGTACAGTGTTATTAAACTTTGAATTAACTTCTCGCAAGCTTAACTTGACTTAACTTCCCATATTAGTTGTTGAACTTAATTTTCAGAATACCTATACTATAATTAGCGTGGTAAACTTAATTTTTCCTTTTGCACAATTTCAATTGAAATTTTACAAGTCGTAAGTTAATGTCAAAAAGAAAAAAGAAAAATAAATTAAATATTCCAAAAAAATTTACTTACATCCTCAAATAACAAACCCATAATTATTAAAAAAAAAAAAAAAAAACGTAAACGTAACATCGATGACGTTATTTACCTATTCTTCAAATTCAAATAATGCTTGATCCAATACCGATTGACGAGCGATCACCAATCACCCAAGCGTCAAAGCCCAAACACTCATCCCTCATCGAAACGCCATCGTTTATTACGCCATAAATAAAAAAAAGAAGAAAAAGAAGAAAAAAAAAAGAAACACGAGGTGGGGAGGGGAGATACATATATGTACACACGAAACTCGCAGAGTGCAGTGACAAGTGACGAAGACAGGGGCGATAAATCAACACTTCCGCGCGAAGTGTCGTCCGAAAAAAAAGCGCGCGAGTCCCTGCAGATGTTGCTTCCGCTCGCTCCCCTTGTTTAAACACCGTACGCGGTATACTTGCCTCTTCCTCCACCCCTTCCTTCCCACCTCTCCTCCCTCTCTCCATGCTCCGCGAGAATCAGGCCAACTTGATTTTCGATCGACTCGGAAAAAAAAAAGAAACGGTGCCGGATATCGAAAACGGATCTGAGCTTGTGTACAATGTTGATCAACCAAAATCTCGTAGGATGCTAATAAATTTTCGAGAATAACACTCCGGAGAGTATT